TGCGGAGAGCGAGGAGCGTGTTCAGCCGCTCGTGTCCTCAGCGGAGCGCAAGCAGAGGTGGGAGCAGGGCCAGGCCGACTACATGGGAATAGACTCTTTCGACAACATTCAGAAAAAGCTTGACGTTTTCCTGAAATAAGAAGAACACAGAAGTTTGAGAGGGTATTCAGCTATGCAAGACTGTCACACTCTTTGTCTTCTTCATTCAAGCATTTAATGCTAACTTTACCTTTGAACCTCATGCAAAACGTGAATTCTGGCAGTGCATGGCAATTGTAATAGATAAAGGCCAGCTTTCTCTATCACTTGCTCGAAGTTTTCATGTTTGGAATGCACTTTCAGTCATTTTTCTGGACTTATACTGACACCTAGAGGTGAGGATTCCTGATCATACAATATACCAATGTACAAATGCTCAATTTATAGTGATAAATATACGTGACCCTGGAGCACAAAAGCAGTGTTGAGTCGCTGGGGGATATTTGTAGCAATAGCCAAAAATACATTGTACGAGTCAAAATGATTGATTTTTCTTTTATGCCAAAAATCATTAGGATATTAAATAAAGATCATGTTCCATGAAGATATTTAGTAAATGTCCTACTGTAAATATATCAGCTTAATGTTTGATTAGTAATATGCATTGCTAAGAACTTCATTTGGACAACTTTAAAGATGATTTTCTCAATATTTCGATTTTTTTTGCACCCTCAGATTCCAGATTTTCAAATAGTTGTATCTCGGCCAAATATGGTCTCGATCCTAACAAACCATACATACATGGAAGCTTATTTATTCAGCTTTTAGATGACGTATAAATCTCAATTTTGACAAATTGACACTTAAGGTCCAGGGTCACGCATACAATTTACAGACAAAAGTCCAGTATTGGGGTTCCCGAGTAACCCAGCTACTACTCTTAGTATCGAGGAGACATGTTCAATGTACATAAAACAGCTTTTATGAGTCTACTGTAACTGGATTGAGTTTCATCTCACATGTACAGGATTTTAAACATTTGAACAGTCATTTTCATTTCTTTAGAGATGACTGCTTTTTTACGGAGGAAAAAAAAAAGAACTGCAGCTTTAACTAGAGCAGATCATGTTGCCAATCCTAGCTCTTTTAAATCAAATATTCGTACTTTTTCATCAAGAAAAGCAAACTCCGAATGTGTGGTTGTATTTTGAATTCTTCTCTTTTTCTTCACCCGTTGTTGCTTCTTGACGGTCTGGTTGATCTGCTGCTCACATGCCGGATGGTGCCTTTTTGGATCTCGGTTTTCTTTTATTGCGTGTTTCAGGGCCATTGTCCCCTCTGGCTTCAAAATAAAACGTTCAAAATGATGATGAGTGAAATGTATTCTTTTTTTAAATGTTGTATTAATGTAATAGATAATGCATAAAATAATATTTGAGAAATAGAAACATTTAGACAATATTTGTGGAACATTATGAAAAAGAAAAGAAATCAGGAAATTATGAATTTATAAATTGTTACGACACACTGTCGTTGTTGGTGGAACGGCATCTTTACATGAATTATTTTAGTGTTTGTATTTATGAAATATTCTTATTTTCATGTATTTCTTAAGTCAAGCTAAATTATTTTATAGGCATTTTTAATAACAGAAGCAGCAAGCGTCACCTAGCGATACAGTCCTTGCGGTTTCTACTGTACAATAACAAATACATTCCTAGGCTATGATGAGATTACACTCCTTTCCTTGTTTTCAATCATACGATTTTTGTTACAGTTTTTCCATAAAGTTGTATTTATATTAAGGTTATATATAAATACTTATAATTATATTTATATGAATAAAAACATGTATTGACAAAAATATATAAGTAAATAATAATAACATTTATATTAATAAAAGATAATTATATAATTTATTGAACAATATATAATATTTCAGACGGAACCTTTTTTTTTAATGATTATTTTTCTTTTAATTACATTTGAAATGACCCAATACAAATATCCCAACACATTTTTTAAGTTAACATAATGATTATCATTAAATTAATAGATACGAAAACGCGTGCCTAACCTGTCGGCTTTTGTTTTGTAGCCTGTTATTGGCTGATGGACGTGGACTGTTGCTCTCGCTCTTGGCTCCGCCCCTCAAGTGCATTCGCCGTTTTTAATTGGTACGCGTCCTGTAATTTGCATAATTCATGAGACGTGGTTCTATGGCCCCGCCTCCGCCAGAGATGTCAACAGTCAGTTCAAGATGGCTGCGCTGCCGATGGTGAGGGTCGCGCTGCTCCTCGCGTTCTCGGTGTTTCTGACGCTCGTCCTGGGCTTCGGCTTGCCGTCTGTGCTCAACCTCTTCGCGCGATGCTGCGGCTTCCCCGAGGCGAGCGTCACGGAGAGCATAGTGCTGCTGTACGCGCTGTTCGTGCTGTATGTGGCCATGCCGCGTCTGCCCCGCGGGACACTGAAGGTAACGGTGCAGTGCGCTACTTACACAGCAACAAAAACTAACGGCATTCCACGTGGCGTGTAACGTTACGATATTATAGGAGATGTTATTCTCGGGCTGAAAATCTGTTTTTCACTCACATAAACATTGCACATTATAGCTTGCTCTCAAACACTGTTACAATCCTACAGCACCTTAAAGTGAGTGTTCTTTTGATTTTTGATTAAGTGTCTTATTCAATTACATCATGCACAAAAAAAGTGTATTTGTCCATTTTATTGAGTTCTGTAAACTTGTACCTCCAGTTCGGTTGTCATGCGAGTTCATTGTGCAGGACATAACGTTATGTATTATTACCATGCAATGTGTGTATGTATGATTGAGTGAGTGCGTGCAATGAAATATATTAATAATTAACTATCTTTGCCTTATATTATATAAGGCAAAGATAGTTAATTATTAAATATATTTCAACGTATTACTCATAAGTTATATGGAGTCCTAGTGATGAGTGATATCAACTTCTGTGCTTTTTTGCATTTATTTTTATATGCGTTTTTAATAATGCATATTTATTGTAATATTACCATTGTTATTACCATAAACCCGGAGGTACAAGGTTCCAAGATTACATATATCCAATGCATCTGTGGTATAAATGGTGCATGATGCAATGTGTATGTGTACCACGAAATATATGAATAATTAGTTTTGCCTTATATGGTGGCAAAGATAATTATAGAGCCCTAGTGATGAGCGATATGAATTTCTGTGTTTTTTTTTTTAAATATGTATATATGCAATGCATTTTGTATTTCAGTGCTCATGGACTTGCATTGTCATGGAAAGTGTTGACATATCTGAATTTTATAGGTTGCGAATTTATGGAAATTAATGACATACTTAAAAGTCCAGGAAATGTAGTGCTTTTTTTTTTATCTAGTTTTTTTTAATCCGTTAGATCTCAGTGCATGCAATTTCTATTTTTGTATTATTGTAAATACTTTATTTACATTAAATCAAATACTTTATTTTATTGAAATACTAACCAATAAATCTAAACGAGGTGATTGTTGAGCTGCAGTTTGTTGGTTGTTTATTTGGATCCCCATTAGTCTTACAAATAAATAAAAAAACACCACAATTTCACATCACAAAACTATACATCTTCAAATTGCAGTTGAGCAAACGCTGACAGAAACCAACTTTTCCATATATATGTTTTTTATTAACAATTATAGTTTAATTTAGCTTATTTTTTAAATCAATGCTGATTCTTGCATCAATGACTTATTCATTAATTTCAAATCACAGTTTGAAAGCCACTGATTTCGTAACACATTAAGAATTGCAGCTCAGTTGAGGACCGTTTTCTTCTTCTTCGCAGGTCAGAGAATTGTTGGCACATTCGCTTGCAGTTGCACAGTAGTAATATTGCATAATGTTTCCATCGTAGGTTGCAGGGAAAGCAGTGCTCGTTACCGGCTGTGACACTGGATTTGGACTGGCTTTGGCCAAGCACTTTCACAAGCTTGGTTTCATGGTGTTTGCAGGTTGTCTGTTTAAGGTAATGGTTCAACTATTTCTGCAGTTGATTTCTAAACATATATACTGTTGGTCGGAAGCAATTATTTTACATTTCACTCACCTATTTTCAAAAATAGTAGAGTGTTCCTTTAAATAACTCATTAAACTTCAAAAAGAAAAACTAATTCAAATATTTTTATTTATATTATTATTTTTTTAAATAATTTTTTAAGTTGTAGCAATTGTGTTGTGTCTTTATACTTCTATGTAGCTTTAATTTTCTAATCTTCTGTATAGCTTTAACAGATTTGCATCTAATATTTATATACATGGGTCAAAGACGTTAAGATGTTCGCATCAAAAGAGATTTGCAAAAGTGATTTTATGTCCATAGAAAGCACATTAAGTGTCTACTTTAAGGTTTCAAATGTTTTTGGAGGATAAAATGTCAATTTGGTTGAAATAATGTTACATTGTTATTCAGTGTAAAACAATATTTATGTAAAAATTCAAACATGCTTATTCTGGCTTGTACATATTAAAATGTAAAGGAGTAAAAGTTCTTACTGACAAATGGGCAAAACCTAGGATAGTGGCACATTAAAATAAATTACAAATTACAACTAATTAGTATTTGGGGTGAAAGTAATTAGTCTTTTAATGTGTCATAAATTTATGTTTGTTGTAAATATGCCTGAGAAGATTGTTACACTGAACGACACCTTAGTGGGTCTCTTCTGTAAATGCAATTAAATTGAACGGAATTAAATTTTTTGGGAAAAGAACAACATTTTAAAGCAGTATTACACTTATTGTTTTTATGCTTAAACCCTTTTTCGTCTTTGACCCACATGCTAAATTAATAAGATCTCTCCAATATAACTAATTAATTCAGTAACATGTGAAACCATGATAAAACCATTTTTGTTTGTGCCTTGTCATTTTATTTAATTCTTGAGCTTTATTTATTTATCTTCACAGTTTTAGTTTAGTAATTTTAGAACTTCAACTCATTTTCAGTCAGTTGCCAATGCAATATTTCTCATTTTAATTTGAATCTTTTTAAGTTTGTTTTCTAAAATGTATTTATATTTTATGTAATATTTTAGATTTAGATTTTATTTCAGCGTCACTTCAGTTAATTAATTATTTTTACAGTCACTTTTATATTTTTGAATGTTTATACAAAATGATATGCAGATTTAATGCTTTAGGGTTGTTTTTTCCAACATCAGAGCAGAATGACTTTGTATGATGTGTTAAAAATTGTTAAATGCATGTAAAACATTCATATCTTCACTTTGGCAATTTTATTTTATTTATTTTTTTTTTTAAATAGACCTGATCAAATTTATGCTGTTTGTTATTTTCCATATGTGATTTTTAGGTGTAAACAGTGATGAACAATTAATCTGAAGGTCAGGTGGGTGTGGCTAGATTAAAGCTGATTTGTTTAGAGAGAATAATGACCCCACCCCCTGCTGTCAATCACTGTGCCACACCCCTCACTAAACCACACCCACCAGATACAGCTGTATAGATTAATGATTGTTCATCACTCTTTATACCTGCTATAAACCATACGAATTGCTGATATGTGTGTTACAGATCAAACAGAAAATAAGCAGCATACATTTCCTTAAATATAGCACACTGTAAAAGTTGAATAGTTTACAAAACGCACTACTATTTACTGACTTGAACTCAGAACTGAAGCCGTGTGATCCTTGTTTCACAGATCTTTGATTTAAACACTCGAATATGATGAAATCAAATAAATCTCTAAACTGGAGCTTCTTATAAACTACTCACCTTAGCAGTTGTGTGGAGTCTGGCACTGAATTTTAGAGGTTCAATAATAAATCCTAAATTTATGAATGTTATTGTTCAAAATACAAGAAAGTTGTCTTACAAATTTTTGGGGCCAGGGGTTTTCAAACTCGGGCTCAGGGACCTCATGAGGGCACAGGAGGGCTATAGGGGGTATGAGAAATATTAAGGGGAAAACGATGCTACAAGACCGGGATGTCAAACTTAAGATATGAATTCAATGCATTTAACACAGTAATATATGTAATGCAGTAGCATTGATAGTATACTGACATTTTGGTTTCTAAAGTTTGAAAGCATTAGATCACTTGGAAAGATTTTATTCCGCTAACAGCCCTACTTATGCATAATTGTGTAAAAAAAAAAAAGCAAAAATGTTCATAAATTGAAGAACACTATACTGTAATTAACTCCGAGACGACAGAAAGTAGTGCAGAGGAAACATCAGCTAAACCAGCAAGATCAAGATAAAAGTCCTGCTTCTGAAACTAATTGGCCAAACAGGAAAGCTTACTGGATGAATACAATATAAATAAGCATACTGAATACAAAAAGAAATATAATAATAATTTTCGCAAGTGCTTTTTTCCTCAGAATTGCATGATATAAACTCACAATTCTGACTTTTTTCTCAGAATTATTGCGAGTTAGTCAGAAGTGCGAGATAAAAAAAGTTTTCCATATAGATCCTCCCATGTTAATACTGAAATCCATCACAAAATAAAACTGTCAACTTAAGATTTCTTCTTGTAATGTTTTTAAGCTCACTACATAATTACCCATTTGCCAGATTTCCAAAAGCAAGTTTGTTTTTATCCATTTTTAAAATGTGGTAAACCTGTAACTGGTAAACCAGTTTGTAGTTCTGATAATACTGTAATTTAAATGCTACCAGTTTGCAATAAAAGCAGCATAACAGACTGTTTTTGTACAGCTAAAATAACTGAAAGTCAATGACACCAGACGCGTCACACATTCAAGCAACAAACCGCCACCCCGCTCTTACTTTAAAAGAGTGCTGAATGTAATTGGTTTGATTGTACTAAAGCAGGAATCCTCAAATCTGGCCCATGAGATCCAGGCTGCGTTCCAGTCCATTTTTTTATGCCCTTCACTCGCAAACTTCCCTCCGTCTCGTTCACTCGGATGTATGTCATTGATTACGTTACACGAGTGCCCACTACTGGTGGAACCCTTGGAATGTGCTGAACTGGAACGTCCCAAGCACTTGATCACTTAGAATCTGCTATGGAGTTGGTTTATTGTTTACATGTTTCCCCTTACAAATTTGTTTGGTGCAGCATTCTATATGTATATAGATATGCTTGGGCTGTTATAAATATTAAAAAAAAAAAAACATTCATATATTATAGAGTTGTTTGGGGTGGGGATAAATTAAACGCGATCTGCGATGACATCATAGTCATGTTGCATTGTGGTCTATGGCGCGGCCTGAAGTGTGCATATGAAGCAGACTCGCTCCCTCGGTCAAAATCGAGGGGTCGAGGGTATGTCCATGTAAACTTCCCTCGTCCACTTGACGAAGTGGAATGCACTTCAAAATGGCAGTGGGGATTCCCCCGAGGGTAAGTGCTTAGGGAAGTTGGCGAGTGCATGTCTAAAAGTGAACTGGAACGCAGCCCCACTGTCCTGCAGAGTTTAGCTCTAACCCTAATCAAACACACCCGAGCATGCTAATCAATGTCTTTGGGATCATTAGAAAAATAACAGGTAGGCGAGTTTGATCAGGGTTGGAGCTAAACTCTGCAGCGCATTGGCCCTCCAGAGCAAGATTTGAGGAACCCTGTACTAAAGCATAAGATCATAGCATGTTTCCTAAATATCTAAAAGCATATTGAATTCACATACTTGTTTCTTTGAAAAGCAATGCTGCAGCCAGTTATTTTACTTTGAAATGTGCGTTCAGTGTCGAATGTCTGTTTTTGTTTTGGTCTGTGTGACTCCGCCCACTGCCAATTCACCCAATAGTATTTCGACACACCGGGTTGCCAGTTGGTGGAAAACCGAGCATATTGCAGCAAAGGAAGCCAGTAAACGAACTGGGTCAGAGATCACAGATTCTACCCGACCTAAAAATCTGAGAAGGGTATAACTGCAGCCTGGAGATCTCCAAATAGGGGCGGGAACTCCAAAATGGGGCGTGGCTTCCTCCCATTGACAGACAGGCACATGACACGCATGCCCCCCAATCCACTTCAGTGCAAACTCCGCCCCACAGCGGATTCTAAAGATTTTATTGGTTGTCAATTAAAGGGTTGATTTCCTACACTATGCTACAAAAACATACCCCACACCTGACCCTAACCAGTGAAATTGATTGCACGGCAGGATTGGCGCTGAATAGCGTGGTAAAGAAAGTTGCAGTTCAGGAGATAAACAGTTAATAAGATTATGCGATATGAGATCATTCTGTAACTCCCAAACCGGACAATGGCACCTTTTTTGTTACACCCAGCGTCACTACCCCCTCCTACCCTGCGAATTTCGAGCCCTGGGACGCCCCCGTTGCTTAGAACAAAGCTATAGAGTAAAATCGTTCCCCTGCGCTGCGCTGGGACGGCTCGCGGGAGAGCTCGTGGGTGATTCTCGTTTATTAAGCATAGGTTCAAACTCCAGTCCGAACACCACTGGCCACGAGCTTTGGGCTCTGCTCTCATGGAGAATATTTATTTATATAGCATATTTTATTTTAGATGAACTAGAAACAAATGTTTAATTTATACAGTTTTATTTTGAAATGTAAGTCAATAACAATTGGCTGGAGCCAGAGCCAATGGTGAAAGTCTTTGCACGAGGAGACCCACCCATTTTGAAGGTTCTGCCCACTTTTGGAGTTCACGCCCCATTTTGGAGATCTCCTGTCTGCAGTTATAGCTACTTGAAAAATCTGGCAACCCCTGTGAGGGTGGAGTCTGAGGAGGAGGGGGTGGGATAAGCAACACTTTCCAATATTTCTAATTTGGACTGCAGTACCGTATTCAACCACTAGCTGTCAATATAACATACTGCACCTTTAAAAATAAGGAGAAGCTATTAGATTTCATAATTAAAAATGGTGAGCAGAAAAAGTTTTGTATATTTACTCATGTTATATATTTGTTCATAACCATGTGAATTGAATCAGGATGTCTGATCAGTGAGTTTAAGGGGGTTTGTGATTCTATCTTGCAGGTCTGTGGGCTGTGGTCAACAATGCTGGTATCTCCACATTCGGTGAGGTGGAGTTCACAACCATGGACACATATAAGCAGGTTTCAGAGGTCAACCTGTGGGGCACCATCAGAGTAACCAAAGCCTTCCTGCCTCTCATCCGCAGGGCTAAAGGTAAAGTAATGCACACACTCCATGCAGTCCAAGTGCGTCTTCCTGCGGTCAACCTACTTGGAGAATGTTGCAGGCCTTTTGGTTGTGAGGAACTTGTGGGTATAGATATGTAATTTGGCGGAGTTTAACTGAAGAGTTTATTCTGCAGACAGATGTTAATGTTTCTCTACAGTTTCCACTCCTGCTAGTCTGCCACTTAAAGGAATGTTTGGATCTGAATGGATCAATGGTTAAAGCAAATGGACTTTGGAGTGTATTGCCTGACAAACACTTGTGATTTCCGTGAATGTTATTTTTTAAGTATATTTTGTATGATATATGATTTCGACATTGGAGCTTCATAATTATAATTTTATATGTGGTTAATAAATAAATATATACGGTTAATAGTCCCGGGGCTCGAAATTCTCAGGGTAGTGACACTGGGTGTAACTAAAAAGGTGCCATTGTCCGGTTGGGGAGTTACGGAATTCTCATCGCATAATCTTATTAACCGTTAGATATATAAATTTTATGTATACATTTTAATAGATATTTTTCCATATTCAAAAAAAAAAAAAAAGTACAAAGATTAACACGCGTTACAAACTCAAAACGGTTTGTGTTCAGCAGTACTGAACAGTTTAATTAGTTTAAAGGGGTCATATGATGCTTTTTTTAAAGATCATTATTTGGTGTAACAGAATATGTTGACATGCTTTAATGTTCAAAAAACACATTATTTTTCAAATACTGTACATTATTGTAGGTCCTCTATGCCCTGCCTCTCTCAAACGCTTCGTTTTCTACAAAGCCCCTCCTTCCGACAAGCGCAGTCTGCTCTGATTGGCCAGCTGACCCAGTGCATTGTGATTGGCCGAACACCGCAAGCACTCGTCGGAAATGTAACGCCCCTTACCATAATCGCAGCTTCATCTTTCAAAATAAATGTAAAGACAGAGCCCGAAAGGGGAACAGAGTCTCGTGACAGACACAGTGATGAAGCTGGTATGTGTTTGCAGCACACAAGCCACGGTTAAGACAACTGACTCCACTGTGATGTGACGCTCTCCCTCCCTCCCTCTCACACACGCACGTAACAAAACAGTAGCTGACTCAGAAGCGCCAGATTGTCATAGCAAAGTCAGAATTACCTCCTCTCCAAGCTTCAAAACTTGAAATCGCATCATATGACCCCTTTAAACATTTTAATGTTATTTGTGACCCTGAACCACAAAACCAGTCATAAGGTTCAATGTTTTGAAATTGAGATTTATAGATCATCTCAAAGTTGAATAAATAAGCTTTCCATTTATGTATGGTTTGTTAGGATAGGACAATATTTGGCCGAGATACAACTATTTGAAAATCTGGAATCTGAGGGTGCAAAAACAAACAAAAAAAAAAAATTCACCTTTTAAAGTTGTCCAAATGAAGTTCTTAGCAGTGCATATTACTAATCAAATTTAAGTTGATATTTACAATAGAAAATTTACTAAATATCTTCACAGAACATGATCTTTACTAAATATCCTAATGATTTTTGGCATAATTTTTTTTATAATTTTGACCCATACAATGTATTGTTGGCTATTGCTACAAATATACCTGTGCTACTTCTGACTGCTTTTGTGCTCCAGGGTCACATTTATGAACCTCACTTGTATGTAATATATAAATGAATACACTACCATTTAAAAGTTTGCAGTCAGTTAGATTTTTATTTATAATGTTACAAAACTTGAAATCGCATCATATGACCCCTTTAAACATTTTAATGTTATTTGTGACCCTGAACCACAAAACCAGTCATAAGGTTCAATGTTTTGAAATTGAGATTTATAGATCATCTCAAAGTTGAATAAATAAGCTTTCCATTTATGTATGGTTTGTTAGGATAGGACAATATTTGGCCGAGATACAACTATTTGAAAATCTGGAATCTGAGGGTGCAAAAACAAACAAAAAAAAAAAATTCACCTTTTAAAGTTGTCCAAATGAAGTTCTTAGCAGTGCATATTACTAATCAAATTTAAGTTGATATTTACAATAGAAAATTTACTAAATATCTTCACAGAACATGATCTTTACTAAATATCCTAATGATTTTTGGCATAATTTTTTTTATAATTTTGACCCATACAATGTATTGTTGGCTATTGCTACAAATATACCTGTGCTACTTCTGACTGCTTTTGTGCTCCAGGGTCACATTTATGAACCTCACTTGTATGTAATATATAAATGAATACACTACCATTTAAAAGTTTGCAGTCAGTTAGATTTTTATTTATAATGTTACAGAAGATTTCTGTAAGGATGTTCTTTTGAACTTCCGATTCATTAAATAATCCTAAAAAGAAATGCATCATGGTTTCCACTAGGGATGCACGATATATCGGCCACCATATCGGTATCGGCCAAAATTTTCATATCGGTGCATCCCTAGTTTCCACAAAAAATATGAAGTGGCACAACTGTTTGTAACATTGATAATAATCAGGGGCCTCATTTAGAACCGTTGCGTACGCACAAAGCCTGCCCTGAACGAAGCGTACGCCACTTCCGATGCAAAAGATGGGATTTATAAAAAAAACAAACCTGATGGAAAAAAAGTGTGCACCTGCACGCAAACTCTGACCCATGCGTACAGACTTTTTTTCCTGGAGAGAAAAGTAATATAGTAAACAACTAAACTGTTTTCATTCCACTCATTAATGGAGATAAGCACGGAAATTACATAGTCATTACGTAGAAGTTAAACCACAATGATATGAATTTAGACATAGCCTATTTGTAACGGATGCGCTTGCTGTGGTATGTTGTGTTTTAATGACCGCAACGAGTACTATAGGTGCATAATTTCTTTAAACTAAACTGCACCTCATGTTATGAGAAAGTATTTTTAGCGAGAATTGATGCGCACTTACTTCGATATTGTGGCGGACACTGCTGGATTCGGTGGAACGGTTTGAATAGGTCCAATGATAATAGCTTACTGTACAACCACAGCTGCACAACATTATGAAAAATACCACTGTATTTGAACGATACATCTTGAAGAAAACGGTAAGATTTGCACGTGTCCTTTTTAAAATACTTTGTCAATGACGCGCAGAGTCAGATAATTGGATTTGCACTGCAATAAATATAGGCCTATATTTTTCCACTAAAAATAGCGAAAAGAGGTTCACCTTATCAGCAAAACTGCATTAAATTTAATTTGATTTTTGATTTATTTATTTTTTAAACAATTGAAATATTATTTGGCTTGTGGAAATGAACGAGATCAACTCCATTCTAAATTATTTTTCTGAGAACCATTTTAAACAGTTTATGGATATTTTGATATTCTAAAACAAAGATACTGGATGATTTTTAGCAATAAAAAGGAATGTGTATGGCACAAATGGCATTTATTACGGTGCCCGTAAGGTGACATGTCCGGTTCACTTAGTTTTGTCGTGGCCACGAGATGATATTCAATTGAGGGAACGCAGGTTTATGCAGGACCACGAGAAAAAGGTCGTTCCCTCAACATAGCACTATATACATTTATAGTCCGTATCTCATATTTCATTCTTGTACCTTTGACGGTGTTAAACATGGTGTCACGTGGATGGGATTATGCATAGAAATGATATGCAGATGAGGTTATGCATAGTAAAACTAGGCGTTAGAAGCTCCATATATGGTGATTTCGGGGAGGAGTCGGGGTGGAGATGCACGTACGCACAATCTTCCCCTGACTGGATTGATGAAGGGATTGTTGCGCAGGTTCTGGCGTACGCATGGTTTTATAAATCTGAAAACTTTTGAGCGTACGCAAGATCTAGCTTTCGTCGGCCCTCCACTTTAGGATGAAATCTATTTTTATAAATAAGACCCCAGAAATGTTTCTCGAGCAGCAAATCACCATATTAGAATGATTTCTGAAGGATCATGTGACACTGAAGACTGGAGGAATGATGCTGAATTTTTTTTTTTAATTAAATAAAATATATTCACATAGAATTTTTTTTTTTTTTTGTAATAATATTTGACTCTTTGTCTTTTGGTCACAGGTCGCGTGGTGAACATCGCCAGCATGTATGGCAGGATGGGAAACGCTCTCCGATCCCCTTACTGTGTATCCAAATACGGAGTGGAGGCTTTTTCTGACTGTCTCAGGTATGAAATGAAGGTTTGGAATGTCAAAGTTTCCGTCATTGAGCCAGGAAACTTTATCGTGGCCACGGGTATCCTGACACGTGACATAGTCACGACAACAGCAGAGAAGCTCTGGAAGGAGGCGCCCCCTGGTGTCCAGGAGGACTATGGGAAAGCTCACTTTGAGCAGTACATGGCTCTCATGCGTTCCTACTGCAACAGCGGCCAGCGAGAGATCGAGCCAGTCTTAGACGACGTCACAGATGCAATCACATCCAAACGGCCATACAAACGGTACAACCCCATGGAGCCGCACTGGTGGATCCGCATGCAAATAATGACCCACCTTCCTGCGGCCATCTCAGACAGACTCTACTTCTAATGAGATGCCAACTTCCAATGTTCGTCACAGGGTGAATCAATGAATTAATATATGCCATATTGATCATAATCAAATTAGTATACAATCTTTTAAATAATAATAAAAAAAAAAAAAAAAAAAAAAAAAAAAAAAGAGAATTGGCATACAATCTTAAATTTGGGGAAAAAAAATAAATCACAAATCTCAAAAGGAATATTCTAGGTAAAATACAAGTAAAACTATGTGTGATACCACAGGACATAAGACAAGTCAACATTATTTTGTCCAAAATATTCCCTTAAAGGGATAGTTCACCCAAAAATGAAAATTTGCGGTTCATTTCCTCATCCTCCGGTCATCCAAGATGTAGGTGACTATTTTTTTACAGTATAACAGTAAAGAAGATTTTTAGCTGAAACCGTGGTCCTTGGTGATTCATAAAATTCAAGTCACCAGCTGCTATCACTTTGAGTCAAAAAAAAAAAAAAAAAAAAAAACCCATACAGGCAAAATCAAATTAATACCAGTTGCTCCTGATAATATATAGAGGTCTTATAAAGCAAAACAATCAATTTGTGCAAGGAACTAAACATTGTTTATTATTATCAACATTACGGCACCTTAGGAGCCTTAGGCACTCTGGTCATGTTCAGTTTCTTGCACAGACTGATTGTTTCGCTTCATAAGATTTTAATATATATTGTCAGGAGCCACTGGTATTAATTGTGTTCCTGTATGGCTTTTGTGACAAAGTACCGGTAGCTGTTAACTGGCATTTAATGAATCACCAAGCAAATTTTCATTTTTGGGTGAACTATACCTTTAAGTTTGAATGTATGCACTTTGATTCACTTTATCGTATTTTAGGCTCGTTAATGGTTAAGTATTCTGGAAATGTGAACACTTTTCAGTATTTTGATTTGGTCACGCAGACATTTCCATAGAGCGATCCCGAATCACCAGAGGCCTGAAGCAGTGAAAAACAGCATTATACAGCGCGTCCCGGCTGGCTGCTGATGTGGCAGATGTCTTCGTGTGGCTCTTTTCATTGAAAGGATGAAACCAAAAAAAAATATATAAATTAACAAGAGAGGATGCCTGAGGTAAATGGGCTGCTTTCTTAGCAGAAACGATAAGAGTGAGGGGCTTAAAGAGTTATAGGGTCAACACATATTCCCTTATGAGCATTCCCTTTATGAGCGTTTCTTCCAAGAATCTGAATGATTCAGTTTTGAGGTATTATGGGATCACTTGCCATCCACTTTAACAAATTTTGTGCTGAAACATTCCGAGTGTTGAAATTAACAATGTATACATATGCATCATCCCAATTTGCTGGTTTGTAAGAATAATAAGAATGGTAAAAAGGACCACATTATACATTTCTGAACCAGAACCCATTTAAATGTGCTTGGAAGCATTAAAGCCTCTACATAAATTTACTACTTTATTTTTATTATAACTTTTTATTTTGAAATTTAAGGATTAGACAATTAACAACTGCTGTGGTAGTTTCAGCCTTGCATTGCATGCTTACTTAAATGATTGAAATTCGTTAGAGAATTGTCACAAACCACTACTCGTTCCGTAGTGCAAGGGCTAATAGGCATTATTAGCCTAAACACCTCATATATACACTGAAAAAAAAAATACTAAATTTAAGGTACGTGGTTGCAAACAATTAATTGGCTACATTTAAAAAAAAAAAAAAAACCTCGAGTTAGTCAACTGAATTTGTTTATTTAAATGTAGCTCAAATAAATGGATTGCAACCACTTACCTTAAAACATTTTAGTAAATTCAATGAATAATTTTTTTTCAGTGTAGTATGGCATTTGGAAACACTAGGATTTGGGATTCACCAATGCTGATTTTACAAGCTATATACAATAGGATGGATTGCATGAGGACAGGAATGTCATCAATGACACTAGAGGGAGGAGTTGAGTTGGCATCTGTAGCCATCAAGCTCTTTCAAAAGAAAAACACTAACAGTTTTATCAAATAGTCCATCAAGTTACGTCTTTGCTCTCTCTACACATAATGTAATTGCTTAATAAGGACCAAGTGTTTGCATGGCTTTCTTGATTTTTTGTGACTGAAAACCAGTAAAGTGTATGCAAGTTTCTGGACATTCTACAAGATTAGTTGAGAAACTTCCATTACAGTTTGCCTTATATTTATTATAACTTACTGCATGTTGCAACGTGATACAGAATGCACAGCATTCACATCTAATATTTTAGGGATTTTCACCGGCTTTGGTTGTGAAATCATGGGGAGTACATTTATTATTTAGGGAACTATGCAGACGCAAGTAATTTCACTGGTAATGGTCACACGGTGCCCCGGCTGTTCTCTATCAAGTCCTTTCTCTTCCTATAGCTGACATGTTTCACATTGTTTCAGTATGAATATTGCCTGTTTCTTGTCTTAATTTTCTCATGCACAGCATGTGTAAAGTCATTATGATTCCCAGCAGGTCTTCATTAAATGCCAGCAATATCATTTCCATAGCAGTGGAACACAAAGTCATGCAGAATAACTTATTTCAAATGACATTTACTCATTAAGCCTTTATATGCAGATTTAACCTCTGAAATTGTAACACCGCATTTATGCTCTGGATGACATTAAAGAGATATCAAAATAGATTGATGTAGTTTATTTCTTCCTTTGTACAGTCTAAACTCTTTACGGAGACAGTGAGCATACAACTACATTTGATTTTCACAGCACCTTCAGCCCCATTTACAGAAACGGTTCACTCATAGTTCAGACAAAATGAGGTTACGTAATAAAACTGGTAAATTCAGCCCACACCATCAACTATGCATGCTTTTCAGTAGAGGATCTAAGGGCCTGAATTCAGAATTCATTCTTTTGTAACAAAATTAAGTTCATAAAGGCAATGCTTTCTCAAGTATTCCTTTTCTCAGATAGCTTGAATAAAAATCCAAAGGGTAGATGGAGAAATTTACTTTCCAATATTCCAGGTTTTAGTAACTTTTGGAGATAAAATGTTGGCAATTTAGCCAAAACCTAGTGCAGATGTGTTACAATGCTACATAATTCAATGCATTGTCCAAGCTTGGATGTCTAAAGAGCTCAAATCACTTACCACATGTTCCCAAAAGTAAGGACAGAAAATCTATTTGGTCACAACTTGTAGAAAAAAAATGCTAATGAAGTCTACATGATTGATAACAATACCACTTTCAATTTCTAGGTACCTCATAAGCTGACAGGTATATCTAGCAGTCTACAGCACAGGTATACTCTTATATCCAGCACAAATACTAATAGGTAACCATGTTTGCTGGGCCTGCTTACCTTAGTCAAGAGTAGATGCAATATTTGACACAAATTAAAGATGTGAAGCAAAGATTTAGTTTTGTTACCAACTGAAGGGTGTTCAAATCGGTTCCCAATCCTGGTCCTGGAGAACTCCCAACACTGCACATTTTAGATGTCTCTCTAATCAAACACACCTGATTCAGCCCATCAGCTCGTTAGTAAAGACACCGAGACAGGGGGTGCCCAAACTCGGTCCTGGAGGGCTGGAGAGTTTAGCTCCAACTTGCCTCAACACACCTGCCTTTAAGTTTCTAGTATGCCTAGTAAGAGCTTAATTAGCTGGTTCAGGTGTGTTTAATTGGGGTTGGAGCTAAACTCTTCAGGACACCGGCCCTCCAGGACTGAGTTTGGACACCCCTGCACCAAGACCTCAAACGTGTGTGTCAGATAAGAGAGACATCAAAAACGTGCAGTGTTGGGAGTTCTCCAGGACCAGGATTGGGAACCACTGATGGAAAACTTCTTGCAGAATTTACTTCCAACACACCTGAACCAGCTAATCTAGGTCTTCAGGATCACTAGGAACTTCCACACAGGTGTGTTGGAGCTAAACCCTGTATGAAAGTGGACCCTTTAGGAACAGGACTGAACACCCCTGGTATAACCCTCTGAACTTAAATAAGGCTTTTACTCCGACTAAGTTCTATATCAGGGGTTCTATACCTGTTCCTGGAGGGCCACTGTCCTGCAGGGTTTAATTCCAGGCTTCCAGCCTTAATTAAACATAATTCCAGGTCTTCAGACTCACTAGAAACTTCCAGGCAAGTGTGTTGAAGCTAGTTGGAGCTAAATTCTGCAGGATGTTGGCCCTCCGGGAACAGGATTGGACACCCCTGGTCTATATGGTAAGGTCACTTAAGTCAGGAGACAAATCATGGTAAGTTCCCCAATAGGGATGTTTGTATGACCAGGACATGGTCCGTGCACATCTGTCACTTATCAGGGGTGTATTACGCACATGCAAAGTGATACTCAAATAACATGTGCATCTTATTGTAACGTTTTGGTTCCAACAACTGAGATGAAGGCACATTTTAAAGCACAAACTATCTGATAAGACTACAGGTCTCCGATATCCCTCATCCAAAACAAGTGGATCTCAACTAGTTGATCAAAACCCCAAATTGGGTAGCATTGTTGTTTTGATAGGGTCTTGGTAGACGTTATCCAACAAGTACTTGTTGCTTGGAATCCCCTTAGCCTCAAAAAACATTAAAACTACTCAAGGCAGTAGAAAAATGATACTGCTTGGTAATGTTGAGTCACCACTTGGTCCTGAAGCAAAACCTGTTGAGAGCCACTTTACTCACACTGAACCAATCTGAACTGGTCACATGGATAGAAATCTGACATTTCCACTTAATTCAAGATTAAATCACTCGAGCAAACTCTGCATGTCTCAGCGATTTTCTCTCTCCCACCCCACACACTCCTCCAAAAAATCCCCATTGCTCAACTCTCGCCCCAGTCCAACTCCAAACAGCTGGAGAAGTAATTACGGTTGTAGTGATGGTCCCCTGGAGAAGAGCCCAGATCATCACCCGACTCATAAGTCTTCAGAAAAGAAACGTCCATGTTTTCTCACTTGAATCAGAGACGTGTCCAGGGAAGTGTCTTTTCCATTGCCTGGTCCACCAAACATACTTATCTATGAAGTTTTACATTCAAACATCTGATCCTGAATGGAACATCTCTTACCATTTATCATAAACTGTTGAAACCTATAAGGAAGCAGCAATGTGGATCTTGATTGCCAAGCGAAGTGGATCCTTCCTTGCAACCCGAGTACACAATGCTGCCTTCATGCTGACATGCTTTCATTCATCCTCTACACTACAATAACAATACGTATGCTCATTTGAGAAAGTAAGCAACCAAATGAGTGCAAAGCAAAGATAAGGCAAACATCTGATGAAACTTTAAACCAATCCACCACGATAACTAAAACCATACCCTTTGCATCAGTTGTAATGCAATTTCAGCCTTGATCATGAAAGACCGCTTTTATTAGTAAAACACTGAATCATAAAATACCTATTGTGTATACCAATGTGGTTTAATCTTCTTTAATCATCAGTCATGGCATCGCAATTCAAGCTCCAATGAAGATCTGTAAATCTAACTCCCATACTCATTCAAATAAATGTCTAGTAGAAGACATTAATCACAGCTAAGCCCTTTGACAAAGCGGAGACATCATATTTATTGCATGGCATGGATTCTGACAGATCCAACATGTGTGGATAAATTTAGGACTAGCTGACAAACCACAATAATCAGCACCTTAATTATTCAGGGAGGCAGAACTTCTGAAAAGTTACCCCTCATAAATAACAGATGTCATCCTTAACAAGACCTCAAGCTTGTTTGAATGTTGGAAACATGCAGTTGCAAGACTATAGTTCAAGATTAATCCCAAAAAGATTGTGCCTAATTCTGAATATTGGTTTTGGTCACTCACTTTTATTGTTGGAGCATTTTGCAGAAATATTGATTCCTAATAAATATAGCAGATTACGTCAATTTCAACAGTTTCGTGTGGTTCAGGCAATGCAGGCAGTAACAGACAGTATGTGAGACCTTTGAAACATGTTGAGCAAAGTTCTTCTGCAGTCAGGACTTAAACAGCAGAAACTGTTAAAAAATTGGCAGGGAAGTTAAAGAGCAAATGAAAAATACATTTTCGAAATCAATGAAAAGAATATATATTAACAAAAGAAGACATGGGTTGTAATTCTAATACATGTTGACATCAAAATACACTGCATCACCTATGGTCTAAACATACTGTATTTTGATACATTGGGTGTGTCCCTCAATGAAATTTGAGCAAGTTTCCGAGCGAATGAACGGGAGTCCATTGTCCGTCTCTCCCTGTACCTCCCATTCTTGGAATGCTTGATATTCCCAGTCTGTCTGTCTGGAAGTGTAGTCACTGTTAACTGGATATTCTTTCTGCTTGGATCAGGAGGCAGCCAGAGCCTTGACCAGGTAGAGTTTGTCGCCCTGTTCGCTGGTGAAGATGGGCGCCTTTTTGTAGTGTTCCACCAACTCCTCCATTGAGTTAAACTTGCGTTGTCCGATGCAGTACAAGTTGTCCTTCAGTTGGACTTTGAAATGCTTATTTTTGGACTGAGCTTTCAGCGATATTGAAAAGTCATTGGGCTAGAAAAAGAAAACATGGAGAAAGGGAAATAATATCAATTTAGACCAATTGCTGAAAGCAGGATTCTTAGCATATTTATCAGAATACAAGGAGGAACGTTTCTGTCTACTTACTGAGGACTCGCTGTCCCGGATAAGAAAGTCTCCCTCTGTGCCCCTCTGGTTGAGTGCCACCTCTGCCTGATGACGCGTCACCTTCCCGTAGTACCACTGCTTGCCAGCGAAGCGTCCACTGGATGAAGGCTCAATGTAGTCACAGTCAGGTGTGGGAGGCCCGGCCATGCTGGCTGAGTTGTGCAACTCCTGCAGAACAGTCACGTAGTTCTTTGGCACAAGTCCCATCTGCCCGTCGGCTTTGCGACACTTCCACCACTCAGGGTCATTTTCTGGCTTCTCCACAACATCCATAACCTCCCCCTTCTCAAAGTTCAGCTCTTCATCGTTGCCCGAGCTGAACGGGTAGAGTGCCTGTACTGTGTGCAGCACCCGGTTGCCGTTTGCACTATGAACAACATCCGACAAGCCGGCAGAGTCGTTGCTCGCCGATCCATCTGCATCCTCCGTCACGTAGTTGGATGGAAACCATCCTGAATGGCCGTTGTAGCTCCCTCTCCACCAGCCATCACTGCACTTCTCCATGACGATGACCCTTGTGCCCTTAACCAATGACAACTCATCTTCCCGCTCGGCCGTGTAGCTGAATTTGACTAGCGCAGGAAGGTTTAGGTCATACAGACGTTCGCCATTGTCCGGGTAGAAATCAGAGTCTGCGTTGGAGGCCGTTTCACGCATGCCTGTCTTCCGTTTCACCTTGCCAATTCCTGCATACATAAAGAAAGAACAGCCATTCAGGTTTTCCCAAATACACAATTAGTGTCCCTTCTTTGTACTCAACTACTTGTTCTTGTGGCATTGCAGATGAAAACTGCAGTCAGTGTGGACGCCCAAGAAAATTGGCAATGCAACAAAATTGAGCTCAACTTCATTGAAACTAAAGCAATGTAGCAGCTAAGGGACTGCAATGTTTCATTAAGTCCACCTTATTTGTTAACAAATCACCTTTTCAGAGAGCTTGTTGCTGCATTTTAGGATTGCCTTCTACAAGAAGAATACATAAGATGCTGCTTTAGAAAGTGGCAGATACAAGGTACAAGGCAACACAATTTTGCTGCTCAACTTTGTGAACAGTCTACGTTTCAAGTCAAGTCGGGCTTGTAACCTGAAAGTCCCAGGTTCGAGTCTTGGTAATGGCAGGAATTGTAGGTTAGGAGGGAGTGAATGAACCGCGCCAAATGAGGTACCCTTGAACAAGGTACTGAACCCCCAATTGCACCCTGGGCGCTGCAGCAAAAGTGGCTGCCCACTACTCCAGTGTGTGCACTACTGTTCACTACTGTGTGGGTGCACTTGGATGGGTTAAATGCAAAGCACAAATTCAGAGTATGGAACACAATACTTGGCCACGTGTCACTTTTCTTACTCACTCACTCACTGCTTCTGCATACACCTGACACCTTCAAATGGTTTTTATCAGTTCTTTTTTTATACTGAGAAAAAGCTCATATCTACTGTCCACTACAAAAAAAACACATTTATCTAAATGCATCTGTCAATGGAAAGCCATATTCAGAAATGAAAAATGTGTTGAGACAGTCTCTTCAGGGGGTAATTTCATCACCCCGCACCCTGCATTCATTCCATTCTTTTTGAAATTATTTGTGAGCATTGTATTTTGATACAGGCACCAACAGGCAGGGCGCGAGTGAAAGGAGAACTTGTCCAAACACATGTTACAGTGCAGTCAGGCTTGTGTTTTCATACTGACAGGGTACACAGTAGCTATCAGCTCCCGCCTGCTTGAGCAATGTGTTCTCTCTTAGTAAGCACGGGCGCTGGTCCAGTTTCAAAACCACCCAATTACAACCAACTAATCATGTTCTCACCACTTTTTACCACTCATAGATCATATGACAAGCTGTGTATTTTTGACTTCATGGAGATGATTCAATTATTCCCATGTGAACAAGCATGTAAGAGCAACAGAACAAAAAGAAATGCTTGCTTTGTGACGATGCAAAAAATATAGCCACCATGATACAAGGGTGCACGTTTACTCTAAGAAAGGTTCTTTATCATTTGTCACCTGTCTCGCGCACAGCTGTGTGGTCTAGTTCTGTTATTCAGAGAAAAGTACAATTAACTGCAAAGAGACACTGGAATGATCACCACACCCTTCGTCCTCCTCCATGAGGAAGGAATGAGCGAGGGAGTGTTGGGTTAGGTTCATGGATACTGTCGAGGATTCCGGCTTGTCTGACCACATTAGGTCAAGCCAAGTGGGCCGGTCTAGAGGATTAATGGAGAATATCTGACCCAGAGGCCTTTTGACCATGTTGGCGGGTTTGGCAAAGGTTTATGAATAGTGTTACCGTGCAGGAATGTCTACTTGGCAGTGAAGTTTGTACTGGCCCAATCCAAAGGCCCAAGGACAGATAAACACTTTCTCTTTACACACTTTACAAAAAAAAGCACAGCAACAAAATTATGGTACTGGATGGTAGTACCATGGTAATTTATAGAGTACAAAATGCACGGCACTTCAAAGAATGCCATGGTATTACAGTAGTATCTCTGCTAAAAAACAGCTTAAACTAGCCCAAGGTTGTTTGTTTGCTGGTCTAAGATGGTTTGCTCAAAGTAAGCCAACCCCCACTAAAACCATCAGACTAAACCATTCTCGCCAGGGGAAACCAAACCACACCAAATTACTTTAAGCTGGTTTACCCTGTTTTCAACATGGAAGTAGGCAAACTCAGACTTTATATTTCAAATTAATATACCTGTAGGCACGGTTCAAGAATAATACTTACCAGATGTGATTTAACAAAACCTCTCACCCAAAAAGCAGGTGAAACCTTGAAACCACTCTTACCTAATCTAAAAGGAAATCACCCAATTTACTTCATGCTTGCTCAGGGGTTAAAGGTTAACAGAGTGAGAACAAAGCTTTTCCAATGGCTCTTTCTGCATTGAGCGAGATGCTTATCAAAGCTCGAGGCCAGAAGTATTTACTCTGTGCTTGAGGATACCTCTACTGCCTGATTTGCATTACAAATGTATGAAATCCCAAACCAAGACGTATTTGCCTCTGGCCTCCAAGCTATGTCCGATTAAGGGGGAATTGACATTTGCATGGTCAATGTGAGCAGGAAGTGAATGTGAAGTGTACGAGCAATACTAACTGGAGCATTTAGTGCCCCATGCATGAACGTGTTGGTGCATGAAACCACGGGTGTGTGAATCTTTTGACAGCATGAGTTCAACTCGTCTACAAATTCAAAAGGCTTTTCTTAAGGGGAGAGTTCACCCAAAAATGAAAATTCCGTTACAGTTTATTCACTCTCATGCCATTCCCTTCCTATGAGCTGTCGCGACCATATCATTAGGTCAGCGAGCTGATGAGAACCAGCTCAGTATGATTTATGACAGAATCATTAAGAAAGTTTTTATAAACAGATCAAATAAAAAGTAGTTAGGGCATTGCTACATTTTCAGTAACATCAAAAAGAACATCTAATGAGTCTCATCATGCAAACCTAGCGAACGGCTTCGTAAGACCTGGAATATAAGTGAAAAAGTTGTTTGGATTGTTTTTATTGTATTTTTATAGGGGTTTTGTGATTTTAAAGCTTAACTATCGAAAAGAGTGAATAGAACAATTCTTAATTTATCCAGAAGAAAGTCATACAGTTTGGAAAGACATAAGGGTGAGTAAATGACAATGTTCACTTTCAAGTGATCTAATTCATTAATCTAATTCATGAAAAAATAAGAAAAAATTTGAATGAAAACGTGTGAATAAATGCAAATCTGGACTTAAATGCAGGTTCAAATATACAAGGATTCCGAAGGCAAATTTCAAGTTGTCACTTGTTAAAAAATGCAACTGATGTTGGGTGTGTGAATGTTCAGACCAGTGGTCGTGGTGGTTTTCTTGAGCGTGATACGACTGATGTTGTTTCACAAGAAATCGGATTAGTCAGTCTACATGGTCTCTAGGGAGCTGACATGGGCAGTTTACACAACTTTATTTTAAATTCTCTTAACTAACACTTCTAGACAGTAACCAAACCACATCAGCGCAAACACACAATTTCGCAAACAGGTCGGATCACACATGGCGGGTGTATCCCACTTAAGTATATGCTTTTTTAACACTTGAAATTGTACTTTTTAAAAACAGATCTGTGCATGTGTTGAAGAAAATGTTAATTATGCTTGTCAAAATTTGCCACCATAATGCAAAGAGGTTTTGGTCCACCCCAAGTCTCTGATATTCTCTATGAATCCATGGATGTGCTGCTGAAAGAACAAAACACATTGTATTGAGCCATGGTGCATTTCCTGAATAAAAAATTAGGAATTTTCCTGGATTCCTATGGAAGTTGCTCAGGAAGGAAGCTGCATGCTTTGTATGGCCATAACTCAATGTGTATATATCTATGTCTGTTTATGCAATCATCTTCTCCAATATTACTTTTAAACATTAACTTTTAAATCAAGTTTGACCAAAAGCTGTCATTTGCAACTAACTGGCAACCATTACAACTTGTAAAACCCAACAGAGTTCCATCTAAAGTTATATTCCACCCGCCCAACACACTACATCCACTTCCCTTCCATTTTCAAGTCTTTCCTCTGAGTGCAACATGAGCTGACTTAGATTAGTTTTTTCCTATGGTGAGTTCATCCTATTGTTCTCCAATATAAGGCTGTACTCCATTTAAAAGCAACCTATGGTTATGAAGAGGTGGATTCTATCCAAGGTAAATAAATGACATGAAAGTGTGACAAACGAACAACCTATGTCTTGTTAAAAAAAAAAAGTGGTGTTGTGGTAGTACCATGGACAATGTATTGTTTCAGATGATTAATATTTAAATATACATAATGGTACTGAATGATGACCATATTCATACACCACGGTGTTTACAAGTTGCTTAAATGTACTTAAAGGAACACCACTATTTTTTCCAACTCCCCTAGAGTTAAAACAGTTGAGTTTTACCGTTTTTGAATCCATTCAGCCGATCTTCGGGTCAGGTGGTTTAGTTTTAGCTGTAGCTTAGCATAGATCATTGAATCTGATTAGACCGTTAGCATCTCGCTCTCGTAATTGATAATTACGCCGGAATGAGAGTACAGTTCCTAGCCATATCGGCCTAGAAACTCACAACTTTTCATTTTCCGTCGGTCTTAGTACATGATGTAACTACAGAAGAGTCAAGTTTTAAATAGGAAAAATATAGAAACTCTTTGGTCATTTTTGAGCGAGATGCTAACGGTCTAATCAGATTCAATGATCTATGCTAAGCTACAGCTAAAACTAAACCACCTGACCCGAAGATCGGCTGAATGGATTCGAAAACGGTAAAACTCAACTGTTTAACTCTAGGGGAGTTGGAAAATGAGCCCATTTTCAAAAATAGTGGAGTGTTCCTTTAATAAAGAATATCTGTCATATGGTACATGTCCACAAGACAGCTGGCGTACAGTTGCCTACAAAAATCATACAAGAATGAGAAAACGCAGCTAGATATATGGTCTCATCTGAATTTTTTTTGATTTTGCACAATGTGCCCAAGTGTGTGAATGAAGGAGATGCAAGCAAAACTGTAAAAACAGGAAAGAAAAATCACTTGCACTTCTAATGTAAAAAACTGGGCTCAAAGCCGAGCGGAAAACAAGACATTCTTTCAACTCAAAAAAATCGAGACATCAAAAGGCCTCCAATGACAGTGACTGTAAACCACAGAGCCCT